TAGGTTAGAGGCAGCCATAGCTGCCATAGCTGTAGTTAGTAGTGAGTGTGTGTGTGCACTCGAGTGTTAGAGTGATGCGTGTGGGATATCCAGGGTGATCCAGTGTATGTGAACAGTGAGATGTTTGGGCGCTGAAGTCGCCATAGCCATATGAGAGTGAACTCGTATCTGAAGCCATATCTCTGAGTTTTGAGTGGGCGCATGTCGCCAGTGTGCTGCGTTACTGTTTACATGTGTGAAAAGTGTGTTTGAAAATGAATCTGATTGCAAGATAACACCTGTAATTAAAATACAAACTCTTCCATGTGACATGGGCGGACAGGGGGGGGGGGGAGAGGAGGCACAATAGCCAACCCACACATTTGCTACACGAGAGGATCAGACGATGAGCAGAAGTGACGATGTCACTTCATTGGCAACACTGCTGCAGCAGTACGGTCAAGTACCACCAGATCTAGTATTTGGACAATTGCCTAAACAGGAAACCCATCCAAAGGGAGTGATGGATGAGTGAAAAAGGGGATTACCCTTTGAGTAATGGCAGACAAGAGAAAGATAAAAGTGACATATTTCATGTTGGCCTTCCGGGCGGGCGAAAAAACGAGAAAAAAAAGAGGATGGGATGGTGTACCTCCTCCTTGTTGTCCGCACTTGGTCCAACGTCGACCTGCTTAAGCGCAGACTCTCCCTCCCCGAGCAGTATGCCGACACAGATTGGTTGCCTTCGACAGTCTAGGACGCCCTGTAACAAATCGCACAGTCACAAGGTCATGAAATGGGAAGAGGAAGATGAAAGATAAAACCTAGATAGAAGCTTCCGTCAGGGAGAGGGAGCAAGAAGAACGTCCCCAAGGGAAACAAGTACATAGATGCCACTTCATCATTTATACCCTAGCCAACCAAACACACGGACGTCGCTCAATCAAACAACGTGTTCAAGAGACTTATATTCATCTGAAGACTAGATATGAATCACTGAAAAGTTTGTCCTTCAAGACATCCGTTAGAATTGGAACGATACAGAGAAGATTAGCATGGCCCCTGAGCAAGGACGACACCCATGAATCGAGAAATGGTCCAAATCTTAAAAAAATAACAATAATAATAAAAAAATAAAGAATCGCGGAAAAGTTCAAAAGCAAAGCACGAAGTTATTGGTTCAAGCCCGATCGTCTCCAAACAACATTCCCCGTGAGCCCACGTAGCTCAGACCTCTGTCGGCTCGAGCCTTTCTTTTCTCTATTTGTTTGTTATGCAAGGAAAATGAACGATAGTGAAATGACAGAAATCCAGAGTGCAAAATCACATTGAAAGTCCCCAAGTCGAATGCTGTCTAGAAAGCAGAAATGCACCGATATTCCACCAACGGAGAACCAAAGCACTGAATCCGAATGTCCATGAGAGCATACTCTCGCCACCACCAACATATGTATCCAGACTCCAGAGTCTTTTCTCCTACTTGGCGCTCAGCGCCCAGCCTACCATCACACAGCTACTAGCAGCCTACGAATTGACAATGCATCCTGTTGACGTCAGCAGCAACAACCGAGGCCCATGAAGATGTCGACCTTGCAGACCATCACCAAGACCAGGTACGTTCCCTCACATCAGCAACCTCATCTCTCTCTCTCTCTCTCTCTCTCTCTCTCTCTCTCTCTCTCTCTCTCACCCATAACTTCATCACCCATGTCTTCCGCCCCATACACGAAGACCACCACAACCTCGACTGGCTATCCAAGCCAAGCCATGGCGATGTAGGGCTGGCTATGGCGCTGCCCTCAGCAGCGCCCTGTCTTCTTCCTCGACGCCCCCGCGAGCCCGCATCCACTAGTGCACAGCAAGCAGCCTGCTAGCACATGCTCCAGCAGCACTGCCGCTTGCACAAGCCAGCGCCCGAATGAGCCCACCAGTGGCGAGCCCTTTCCTTTATGGGAAGTGGCCCAGTTTGCTGTCTGGCTGGGTCTCGTCTGTTTCCAGTAGCTTCCGTTTGGGCCAAAGTGTCTGCGCCCAGGCCCATTCAGACAGTGGCCTGGGACCGAATTGGTTAGGCCTGACCAACCACCCAGGAGTAAACTTGATGTTCTCCCTGCTTCGCCTGTGCTGCTTGAGCCTGAAAGAGTGTAGAAGGCTCACGAAGTATTTCTGATTCTCACGAGTACGGAGGATGTAACCAACTGGCCCGTGGCAACTGTCTGGCGCCAACCAAACTTTGCCAAAATTCACGAACTCAGACCATATTTGAATTCAGGGGCCCGCCTTCACTTAGGGCGGGCTCATGCTTGCTGAAAGGGCCCAACAGGGGCATGCCGAGGAGCTAACTCGTAACAAGGCCTCGTCGAAGATCTATGCCCACATAGGGGTTCCAACAGGCTCTGCTTGGGCCCATCAGCCTGGTCTCATAGGCCTATAAACAGGCATTGGTACATATTTGCAGGCCCGCCTTCACTTAGGGCGGGCACGGCACCTTTCCAACACTGTCGAGGTACTAAATCCTCACAGTTATATTCATTATCCTTTTGTCCATTCACAACACCCCCTACCCTTGTCTCCTCGACAACCACCTCCCCCCCCCTCCCCTCCCCCCCTTACCCTTGAAATGCAATGCCTACCCGGTCACATCGACTTTCATTGACATTTGCATTGGGTTTTGCGGCAATATTTTCTCGAGGGAAGAGGCATTTCTCTTTATTTTTTAATTCCCCCCTCTCACTTTAGTGCACCCCCCAGTTCCCCTGTCGGTTGCCGTGGGCCAAGCCATTCATTTGCTGCAGCCGCGAGTTTTGGAGGAAGGGGGTTGGTACTGGTGGCTTAGGGAGATTTCCTGGATGGTTTTGATTGACAATCTTATAAAAGTCCTCATGTGTGATTCAATGCCATGCTCTATCCTTTCTCGTTCGAAGTCTTTTGATGCAATTTAGCAGTATCTGCAAAGGCAGTCAGTTGTGTGAGTCCATGCCTGTCCTCACCTGTTTCAACGACCATGAGTGGGTGCCAGCCATCCTGGACTTCACCCTCACCATGCGAGCCCTTTCGCCTAAGGCCTTAGCCAGCAGGGACTCGATCCTCGTTTCTTCGCTTGAGCTAGGGTGAACATCTCCTGACAAAACGGCGGACATGCTGTTGTCTGAAGCTTTCTGATGAGACCAAGTTCTCAGCCTGCAATTCACAAGTGCCCAGGCAGAGATGGAAACACAACAGAGATCACCAAGTACAGAAACAGTTTAAGGGTGCAGTAGAAGTGATTGACGGTCATTGACCTGATTTCTCCGCCCTTCCGAGGCGACAAAATGAGGGCTGTAACAGCCTTCACAAAAATTCAGACATTCAAATACACTGATTACATCACCCATGTTGCGCTGCAAGAGAAAGGGGACAACAGAACTCCATTTGACTGACTACACCATTGGCCAGTGTCAAGCTTGAGCGAGGTTAATTCACAAGTACTCCACACAGCTATCTGCAGAGCAGCGCCTGTTCGCATAGGGCTAAGGTCAGGCTGGGCCTACCAGAGGTGGGTGGCCCCAGGGAGGGGGGCACAACAAATTTTGAATGCGTACAGCTGGGCTACCAGCCGGGGGCCCGGGTCACCTTGTTTGACAGGGTGGCACGGCCATGCGAGGACCAGCGAAGGGCCCAGC